GTGTGTGTCTGTGTGTGTGTGTTATATAGGAACAGACAGCACTTTGCGTGAGGCTGTGTTTGGGAAATGTCACTAGTGCCGGTAAATGGTAAAGTATTTTGGGGTAGATTATTCTGTATATAGAGGGGCAGCTTTATATTGGGGTGTACTATAGATTCATAGTGGGGTTCTGTTTGTTTCTATTGATGCAGGGAAGGTGGAGGAAGAACTGTACCATGAACTCGCTACAAGATACATATCAGCAATGTCCGATATGGAGGGGAGGAAACCTGGGCCCACCAGCATTCTGGGTAAGTAGGGGGCCACTTCATGGATAGAGGAGGTTCATGGTGTGTGGCAGTAAGTGCAGCTATATATCCTGGCGGGAGTACATCACATAGACAGCAAGTGCAGCTATATATCCTGGCGGGAGTACATCACATATACAGTAAGTGCAGCTATATATCCTGACGAGTACATCACATAGACTGTAAGTGCAGCTATATATCCTGGCGGGAGTACAGCACATAGGCAGTAAGTGCAACTATATATCCTGGCGGGAGTACAGCACATAGGCAGTAAGTGCAACTATATGTCATGGTGGGAGTACGTTACATAGGCAGTAAGTACAGCTATATATCCTGGCGGGAGTACGTTACATAGACAGTAAGTACAGCTATATGTCATGGTGGGAGTACGTTACATAGGCAGTAAGTACAGCTATATATCCTGGTGGGAGTACGTTACATAGGCAGTAAGTGCAGCTATATATCCTGGTGGGAGTACGTTACATAGACAGTAAGTACAGCTATGTACCCAGGTGGGAGTACGTTACATAGACAGTAAGTACAGCTATATATCCTGGTGGGAGTACGTTACATAGACAGTAAGTACAGCTATATGTCATGGTGGGAGTACATTACATAGGCAGTAAGTACAGCTATATATCCTGGTGGGAGTACGTTACATAGGCAGTAAGTGCAGCTATATATCCTGGCGGGAGTACGTTACATAGGCAGTAAGTACAGCTATATATCCTGGTGGGAGTACGTTACATAGACAGTAAGTACAGCTATATATCCTGGTGGGAGTACGTTACATAGACAGTAAGTACAGCTATATATCCTGGTGGGAGTACGTTACATAGACAGTAAGTACAGCTATATATCATGGTGGGAGTACATTACATAGGCAGTAAGTACAGCTATATATCCTGGTGGGAGTACGTTACATAGGCAGTAAGTGCAGCTATATATCCTGGCGGGAGTACGTTACATAGACAGTAAGTTCAGCTATATATCCTGGTGGGAGTACGTTACATAGACAGTAAGTACAGCTATATATCCTGGTGGGAGTACGTTACATAGACAGTAAGTACAGCTATATATCATGGCGGGAGTACGTTACATAGACAGTAAGTACAGCTATATATCCTGGTGGGAGTACGTTACATAGACAGTAAGTACAGCTATATATCATGGCGGGAGTACGTTACATAGGCAGTAAGTGCAGCTATATATCCTGGCGGGAGTACGTTACATAGGCAGTAAGTACAGCTATATATCCTGGTGGGAGTACGTTACATAGGCAGTAAGTACAGCTATATATCCTGGCGGGAGTACGTTACATAGACAGTAAGTACAGCTATATATCCTGGTGGGAGTACGTTACATAGACAGTAAGTACAGCTATATATCCTGGTGGGAGTACGTTACATAGACAGTAAGTACAGCTATATGTCATGGTGGGAGTACATTACATAGGCAGTAAGTACAGCTATATATCCTGGTGGGAGTACGTTACATAGGCAGTAAGTGCAGCTATATATCCTGGCGGGAGTACGTTACATAGACAGTAAGTACAGCTATATATCCTGGCGGGAGTACGTTACATAGACAGTAAGTACAGCTATATATCCTGGTGGGAGTACGTTACATAGACAGTAAGTACAGCTATATATCCTGGCGGGAGTACGTTACATAGACAGTAAGTACAGCTATATATCCTGGTGGGAGTACGTTACATAGACAGTAAGTACAGCTATATATCCTGGTGGGAGTACGTTACATAGACAGTAAGCGCTGCTATACATATCATGACGGGAGTACTTCAATACATACAATTCATGCTGCCGTATTCCCAGGCGGTAGTGCATACTGTGTGCAGTAGATACTGTAATATTCTCAGATAAGAGTTCTTTACTGACACCGTTAGTGCTGATCTTCTTTATACCAGTAACACAATTACAGCGTTGGATAACGACAGCTCTCTCTGCGCAGTTCTAATGACTCGTTCCCTCTGTGCAGGAACCTCCCAGCTGCGCCCAGGAGAGCCTGGAGGGTACCGAATTCCTTTTAACCCCTCGGGGACTGGCTGTGGGGCAGCAATGCGCTCGATGTGTATCGGGCTGAGGTATGGTCTGATGATGGAATAATGTGCTGGATGCTAGAGTCATGTGAGGGGGTTGTGTCTAGACTGAAAGGTTACTGCCCCACGTTGGGGTGGCAGGTGTGCTATTACCTGTGATATACTGTCTCCAGGTATCCACAGCCCTCGGAGCTGCCTCTTTTGGTCGCTGTCAGTGTGGAAAGCGGAAAGATGACCCACAATCACCCTACAGGTCAGTCTCTCCAAAATATAATCCGTCCTCGTAACTCAGCTTATAATATCCTTTACTTATTAAATAGCAGCATCAATTATAGGCAATGTCTAAATATTCACAATGGGAAAGTCTGTGTCCTCGTGGCTTATAGCCGATCCTATATATAATATAAAGCTAACAACGCGTCTGACATCTCCAAAACAAAGGCCAATCTTACTGGTGGACGCAATAAAAACCGTACTAAGCAAACTATATTTCGGGTTTTTAAGAATGATTTGTTTATGAGTTCCAATCATTTAGATTTGTATTATGGTCTATAAAACAGACTAGACCAGAAGTATATGCACCATATTTCATATCTTGAACTCTTCCTTAATGTTTTTTCTATCCTGGATATACAGCCTAGAACGGGCGCTCTCTGATATGCGGATTTGCCATTTCTAACACACTCTGCTCAGTCTGTCATCATGTCTCCAACACGGTCTCATCGTATACATTATTTGTTTAACATAATCTTGCTGCAAAGCATTGTGATTTTTTTTCAGGGTACCTGGGCTCCCTCGCCTCTGCTCTGTTCACTTCTCTATCTGTGCAGGGGGTCCCCCTGGAACTTTGGGGTTTCCGCTTGCTGGAGTCTCTGCCACTTGCTTTTGAATATGTGAGCTGTTCTGAACCTGGCGTACAGTCTCACTTGGACACATGGAACTACTTCCGGGAGAGCTGGGAGAGGTGAGAACCCCCCCAATTTTTCAAAGTTACATTGCTATTCATGGCAGGAAGCTGAGATAATCTTCTGCCTAGGTACCTGAGGGAGAGAGGGCTTCTCCAGGGATCTGGGCCAGCAGTCTTTCCATCTCAATATGGACCTGCGGAGAGAGATGCAGAATATGCCAAGTGGAGCTTGGATGGTTGGGCAGGAAGGAGTGGGCACGATGCACCGATGATTGCCTACGATGCATTGCTAGGAGCCGGAGACTCCTGGGAAGAGCTGTGTAGCCGTGCCATGTTTCATGGGGGTGAGTTGGACAGAAGTGAAAGTCAGCTACGAGATCCTTGTTCCATAAAACAATGAGATACTCTGTATGTTCCAATGATATTTGTTTGTTTCCCTTTTCTGACCAGGAGACAGCGATTCGACAGGAGTGATTGCTGGCTGCTGTTGGGGAGCTCTCTATGGTCTTGGTGGGGTCCCTAAAGGGAACTACAATGAACTGGAATACAAAGAACGTCTGAAAGCTGCTGCAGATTCCTTACACAAGCTGGCCTGGAAGGAACATTAAATATGGATTTAAAGTGTTACCATTTCATCTAATCTGTACCGCCACATATACTGTCAGTCACCTGGACAGGTCTGTACCGCCACGTATACTGTCAGACACCTGGACGGGTCTGTTCTGCCTTAAAAACGTTACTTGCTGGCTGATCTATATCACATTGCTGATAGACACCCCTGTCCTGGGTGGATCTTTACCTCCCTAAAACATTGACTAGTAATAGCAGACTCACCTGGAAGGATGATTTAATAACACATTAATTGTCAAATGCCCAACTGAATGAAATTGATCAAGAACCGCAGTCACACTGTACACCTTATGTGAATACTGCCACCATATGAGCGGCTTATACCAGTGCCTAAATCCCTATTCTGTTGGCCACATGAGGAAGCCAGCCCTGTTTTATAAGCTGATGCCATAAATGTACTAAATGCCCTAGATTGTCATAGCTTGGCTATTCTAGCCTCAGTTTTGCAGTTCAGCTTATGACAGTTCATTGTTTAGAAAACGCCACTCTGTCTCATAGATCGTAAACTGCATATAACCAAAATGGTGGGTTATGAACCCAGACAGCAGACTCCGCATTTATTGCCAGTTAACAATGGTTGCTAAGTTCTTTTGATGTACAGCTCCTCCTAGTGGCCTGAGTGAAAAATCTTTGCAAACTTTAATAAATCATATACAGGGTGCCGTCAGCCAAGAGATTTTTGCTCTGTAATGGTTTATGGTGATTAGGAAGGAGAAATTGTTACTTGTTCAGAAATATTTTTGTGTTTGTCTTTAGTGTCCAGGTGAAATATTTGTTTACTAAATGATCTCATTGGTCACTTTCCTTGTCCGTCACTGAGGTTTAATAGAGAATTAAAACTCCCAGGGTCCCTTGTCTGATTGCGGGCCCCTGTTATTTATCTGCCTTTACTACTGTAGTGAAGTTCTTTGTGTATTTATTCCCAGCCCTGATTGACACTGAGCAAACTACAAATTACTCTTTGAGAGTGAAGGTTCCTGGGGAGCTCTCTCTTAACACACACAAAGCATGGTTTGTAAAATCCTTTATTGGTTTCAAACCACATGGAGATATGTTTACCAGGGCAATAAATAATGGCTAAGCGATGCAGATCTTGCTCCAGTCCTGGATGTTTCCTCTATATGGGATTCTCCTCTGACGAATAACTAAAAAAGGAATCAGTGCTAGTGGCGTTAACTCTTAGCGTTGAGCGCAGCAGGAAGATGCTCTGACCAGAGGTCACCGCTATAAGAGGGGAGACTGTGGGACTGAAGGAAAAGACATCCATGCTGTAAATCCCGCTTGGTAGGTCAATCAAACGGCCTCGAGTCTGACGGATGGAAAGAAGATAAACACAATAGATGCAGAACTGGGATAATAAGACATGGGGCTTCAGGAAGGGACAAGGGCATACAAAATGTTTAGCATTTCTAATACATATCACATGACACATGCACTTTAGTCCACTAAAACCTTGAGAGTCGAAAACTATTAAGTAACCTTCGTTGTGGCAGGAACATGACAGAGAATCTATAAACAAGGTGGACATACCAAAAAAGAATTGCAATCAATAATTCGGCACATGTTGATGTCACTTCCGGCTGCAATCATGTGATCAGAGCCAAGCCAACGGCAGCTGTATACCTTAGAGGCAAGATAACCATGATTAACAGGGCAGTAATAATTGTAGACATGAAAGGCAGAAATAAACAGAGCGGGTACAGGAGTCAGGAGAATTTAGTTTTCATAGAATTAAGCAATTTTTTCAGATCATGTATGCTCACCCTGCAGGGACCCCTGTAATCATCGGGCACAGTGCTAATTTTCTGTCCAGTGGCATAATCCCAAATCTGATGGAACAATATAAGAGAAAATAATATAAATACATACATACATACTAAAACACTTCTGCATGGCTACCTCCAGCCTAGACGATACCGGGTGCCCAGCCACACTGATATAAAAGTAGATATATACCAGCACTCCTGTATTTGTACAGCACACAGATTTATTGTCACAAGTCAGTCCTGGAGTGCTGGAATTTATCTACTTCTATATCTATAGATATATTGTAAGAGACAGCAACTGCTACGTCTTGGTTTGACAAATAAATGAAGTGGAAATAACTATTAACATGCTCCAAAAATCCACCTGATTACAAAAGTAACAGGTTATAGCTACAAGGTTCCTCTCTGCCTTTCTCCATGGGGTCAAATCACTAATGCACCCATTGTCCGTCCCCTGGTTTCCATTCTGCAATCTGTCAGTCAGTCCGTCCTCTGGTTTCCATTCTGCAATCTGTCCGTCCTCTGATTTCCATTCTGTCTATGTTCCATTCTCCAATACGACTTACCTGTAGATTTTCCAGTTTCCGCCAGGATCCGATTAGGATCTGATTGGTTACTGGATCAATATGCAGAGAGTCCCCACAAACATGAGGGCCACAGATTTTTCTGATAGGAAATAAAGAAGATTTTAACTCAGTGAGGAATTAAACCCAGGGTAATAAGCAGTGAATGGGATTAACCTATTAACTACTTGTAGGTAGAGTAGCATTCATTAGAAATAAACATATTACCGCAGTGAATGTTGTTGGTGGATGTTCCAAAACTGGAAAAGTGAAAGAAATAGTTTGAGTAAATGAAGGGCTTTTCTAACTGAATCTCCTGATAATATAATCTGAAACTCACCTGTATAGTGTCATCCCAACCTCCAGATATGAACTCTTCTTCACTGTTTGGGTTAAAGCTCAAGCCGAAGATACGAGATCGGTGTCCGTCCATAACAGACAGAGAGGAGCTGAGGGTGACAAGGGGAGCAATAAAAAAAAAAAAAAAAAAAAATTAGATATAAATGTTCTATCTAGTATGTATCTATCAATCTGTGGCAGACACCTCGATGGGAAGAGGGTTTTTTTTGCCCTTAGTGTGAGTAGAGCTGCGATAATCCTAAAACACCGTGAAATAGCTTTTATAGCTGTTCCCTACAAGCACGAGACTAGTCTGTGTTGAGGGTAAAACTGGAACTCATTTATTGGTAGCCACAACTGGCCTTGTATGACAGTCCACATGCAAGGGGCACTCCCCCCTGGACCTGAGAGTAAACTACAGCAGAAACAAATACACAATTACATTGGCTCTCAGGTCCAAGACATTCCCATACATAATGAGACGATCCCTCCTCTGTGCCTGGGAGACAATTGGATCAGGAACTGTACTAATCTAATCCAATTATCTCCAAGCACAGAAAAACACTTTTTCCCCCAAACACCCCAAAAAGTACCTTAAAATATATAAAACTCCACAGTTCCATCCCCTGATAGCCCTGATCTGGGTGACCAACATATCCAAAAGTCACCCAGATCAGTTCAGGGGTTCAGGAATTTCCTGTAAGTCATTTATTTGACCGACCGAACGCATGGTCCCATGCCCAAAACAGTTCCATAGAATCGGGGCTTGCGGTCAGTCTAGTTCGATAGTTTAAAAAGTGAACTACCGAACTGAATCCATAGTTCTACCCTGGAGCTTGTTCACCTTATTCATACGAACGATTCCACCGAACATTGTCGTCCTAAGTGTTATAAAACCGAACACAGGTGATCATGGAAGTCCAGCGGTGTTCGGGAGTTTCAGTGTCCGAAAATAGTTCCATGAACTCGACGACCAAACACCGCTGCCTGTTTTCATGTGAACAAGATGGCCGCCACCTTGCGGTCGCCCATAGGAACTGCGGCCAACCAGAGAAACACTTAGAACACTGCGGTGGAAATGTTAAAAAGTATCAATTAGGCTTAACAAGCTCCAGGGTGGTCTCCGGTTCATGTGGTTGTTCGGTAACCGAACCATATAAACCTAATTTCACGAACAGAGTCTTTTTAAAGTATTTTAGCCAGGTCTATTGCAGTGGCCATAGTCCTAGGGCAGAAGGCTGGCAAGCAGGCTCCTCAAAAAGCCTGTGGCGAGGTTCTGTTCGCCACACTATCCATACAGAATCTATCCATCCATTATCTATGTATCTATCCATACAGTATCTATCCATCTATCAATAAATAAAGGATCCATGTGCTGTAAAATCTACAACTAGACTAAAATTGTCCCACAACACCTGTGAAAGCTTTAAAACCACATAGGATGAATAGCGAATAAGAAGTGGCCCTGTGCATGCTGGGAAGAAAATATCTACTTAAAAGAAGTCAGTGTTACATTGTTTAAGAATGAAATGAGATGGATTGTTTAAGTAAGAATTGGATAGACGTGGAGTGGAGATGACCAGTCAGACCTGGGTTGGCAGATGTTCACGCAGGTCATAGACTCTGTGTCATACACAAGGATATCGTCACTGGAGCCTGCCGTAAGGAAGTGGCTGCCAGATGGATTGATGGCAATTGTCAGTGTCTGTCTGTCCTCAGAGAGGGTACGGACGCAGCTCTGAGTGGGTATGTGCCAGAATTTCACATGGCCCCCAGCATCTGTGAGTGGAGAACAAACAGCAGGAGAAATGAAATACTCAGTGTGTAAGGAGTGGGACACAGAGGATAGAAAAGATATGGAATTAGGAGGAAACAGGATGAGACAGAGAGAGTTGGGATCAGATACAAGACTAGATTCAATAGGTGACACTCGTCCCTTGTCATTGAAAAGAATGTTTCCCATAGAAGTTATCAGAATATAGAATCTAGCTCTTAGACTGAAGGTGGACAAACATATTGAACGTACATGAGGCGAGTAGCATGTCTCCCTGAGACATATGACGGTGGGGTAGAAATCGAAGGGCAGTGACAGCTGTGACCGACTGATCATCCTGCAAAGTGTGCACGCAGGTCCCATCAGACACCGAGTATACCTGCAGAGACAATAAGTTATCTACTGCGCTCACCTCACACAGAGTATACCTGCAGAGACAATGAGATACTCCCACCTACAGGGACAATGAGATACTCCCACCTCACATGGAGTATACCAGCGTGTCTTATATACAGCATTATACACCAGTCAGATCTGATACTGGGACCCCCCAGTGACCCTGATGAGGTTAGACACTGGAGGACATTTCTGATTCAGCTATTTTGTTATAAAATGTGACTTTACTTGAATTATGTAACCCAGTAAGTGATACAGCTGTCTTATACAGCGTATAACCACAGAGACAATACTCCACCTCATCGCTCCTCTAGAACAGGCATTCTGACCTAAAATATAAAATCTCTGCATGTTACCTGTATTGAGCCATTGATTAGTCCGACAGCTAGCATGACCCCAGACGGATTAAACTGGCAGCTCAACATCTCCTTCCCACATTCACTGAAAGAAAGAAAATCCAGCATGTCAAACAAGGATGGAAACTAAGCGAGTACAAATGGAGTGTCAGACAGAACGATATTTATCAGGTAAGAAAAAGTATCAGTGTTACCAACTAACCTGGGACACCGTATCAGACAGTACTAACCTGGGACACCGTATCAGACAGTACTAACCTAAGACACCGTATCAGACAGTACTAACCTGGGACACAGAGTTTCAGACAGCATCACAATCTAACCTGGCACAGAGTATCAGACAGTACTAGCCTGGCACAGAATATCAGACAGTGTTATGATCTAACCTGGCACAGTGTATCAGACAGTGTTACAATCTAACCTGGCACAGAGTATCAGACAGTGTAACCTGGCACAGAGTATCAGAGAGAGTTACAATCTAACCTGGCACAGAGTATCAGACAGTACTAGCCTGGCACAGAATATCAGACAGCTTTACAATTTAACCTGGCAAAGAGTTTCAGACAGTGTTACGATCGAACCTGGCACAGAGTATCAGACAGCATCAAAATCTAACCTGGCACAGAGTATCAGACAGTGTTACATTCTAACCTGGCACAGAGTATCAGACAGTACTAGCCTGGCACTGAGTATCAGACAGACAGTGTTACAATCTAACCTGGCACAGAGTATCAGACAGTACTAGCCTGGCACAGAGCATGAGACAGCGTTACAATCTAACCTGGCACAGAGTATCAGACAGTACTAGCCTGGCACAGAGTATCAGACAGCGTTACCCTCCCTGTGCTTCACTATTGTGTAATTAGTAAGTGATAACGGGATTGGAGTATGTGCCACTAACATGACTTGGTGAATTTGCAGGTTCCCCTCGGTGCTTGGCTGAGGAGGGGGTTCCTGGGAATCTCCAATTTCTTCTGGGAAGGAGATAAAAGTGGATGCTCTGCGCGGTATACCCTTCCATTGCGATTCCACCAGCAACCCAGACATCTTCTGCCAATGTTTCTTCTAGAATATGGTTCCCTTTAAATAGTGAGAAGAGTGAATTACATACTGCTTTATAAACACAGTGGGTGCAAATCCCTGTAACTAGTGAAACAAAAATACAGAGGGCTTTATTCACTAAACAATGCAGTGTCACAAATGAACAACTGACATGTAATATGCAGACTATAGCAGGGTGGCTAAATGGGCAATACCTTGCAATATCATTTCTGCCCACCAGGGGTTATTTACTAAGAGGAGAATGGCTGGGAATTCAGTAGATAAAACAGAGCTAAATGGAATGTTTTATCTGATTGGACTAAAATAAAGAATACAGATACAGAGCAATGCCTGGATGGGGATATCTTGTTGTAACAACAACAACAACATATCCCCGGCCTGGCATTGCTCTGTATATAAAATATATTATATAATAAATTTATATACAGAGCAATGCCTGGCTGGGGATATTGTACTGTTCTTTAACCCCTTAAGGACTGGACTGTTTTTGCAATGTTGTACATTTGCGACCAGGCATATTTTTACACTTTTGTGGTGTTTGTGTTTGGCTGTAATTTTCCGCTTTCTCATTTACTGTTCCCATACAAATTATATATTGTTTTTTTCAGGACAAGAGGGGCTTTCTTTACATACCATTATTTATATAATCTCATGTATTTTAATTTAAAAAAAAATAAAATAAAAAAATATGATGAAAAATTGAAACAAATACATGTTTTTTGACTTTTACTTGAAAAAAATCTTTTACTCATCTACAAAAGCGAATGAAAAAAACTGCTAAATAGATTCAAAATTTTGTCCTGAGTTTAAAAATACCCAGTGTTTACGTGCTTTTTTTTTTGCATGTTATAGGGCTATAGATACAAGTAGGATATTGCGGTTTCAAAACATAAATTTTTAAATTTTATCAATAGTGACATTGTAACACTATTATCTGTCATAAATCTCTGAATAACACCCCACATGTACATATTTTTTTTAAAGTAGACAACACAGGGTATTCAATATGGGGTATGTCCAGTCTTTTTTAGTAGCCACTTAGTCGAAAACACTGGCCAAAGTAAGCATTCATATTTGTTTGTGTGTGAAAAAAGTAAAAAAACTAAACTGAACGCTAATTTTGGCCAGTGTTTGTGACCAAGTGGTTACTAAAAAGACTGGACATACCCCATTTGCAATACCTTGGGTTGTCTTCTTTTGCAAATGGTATGCCATCATGGGGGTAATTCTCATTCCTGGGCTACCATACGCTCTCAAAGGCAACGTAACCAACCTGGCCATTTTCAATGTAAATATATTTGACCCATATATTTGACCTTGTAACTTTCAAAAATGCTATAAAACCTGTACATGGGGGGTACTGTTTTACTCGGGAGACATCGCTGAACACAAATATTAGTGTTTAAAAACTGGAAAACGTATCGCAACAATTATATCATCAGTAAAAGTGCTGTTTGTGTGTGAAAAATGCAAAAAAAGTCACTTTCACTGACAATATCATCGCTGTCATATGTTGTTTTTGAATCACTAATATTTGTATTCATCTAAATACAGTACCCCATCTACAGGTTTTAGGGTGTCATAGAACGTTACAGGGTAAATTACAGTGCTAGCAAATTAAATTCTCTGGAATTTCGGCCTGGGTTGGCAGGCAGGTCCCTCAAATTGCAATCAATAAAATTACTGAATTATGTAAAAATATTACATAAATACGCACGTAGAATTTAAATATATATGCAGATTTATATATTTGAATTCTACGTGTATATTTATATAATTATTTATGTAATTTTGTATAGACATGTATATTTCGTATTATTTTTATTTATATATACACACAAATTCATTCTAAGTGTATTTTGATATAAATATATATTAATTTTAAAATACAGTTAGAATAAAATTTCATATAGATATAATTTTTTATTTTTATTATTTAAAAATTTTATTTAATTTAAATTACGTATTATATTTTATAATTATATATATATATATATATATATACACACATACATACATACACACACGTGTAATTTAATTATAAGTATATTTTTATATTAATATAAGTACATATTAATGTAAAAAAATACACTTAGTATGGATAGAGAGAGATAGATATATACACATATTTATTTTATTAAACACTAACTTTTTTTTAAATGATTTTACACTAGCAGGGAGACTCTCTGTCAGCACAGACAGTCCCCCTGCAGGCAGACACATGGACACCTATTGTGACCATGTGATCGCTGTGTCAAGCGATCACATGGCCACATGGGTCCTAATTCAGTGTGGGGAGACTGTCTGGGCTGCAGGCAGTCTCCCCACACCGGGAGCCACGCTGTTCGCCGCTGGGGGAATGACGGCGATCAGGTAAGTAACTAAGACCATTAGGATGGTTCAGGACCGTCATCGGTCAGCAAGGCAAAAATGCCGATGACTGTCCTGAACCGCCCTCGGTCGTTAAGGGGATGATAATAATAATAATAATAATAATAATAATAATAATAAATTTATATACAGAGCAATGCCTGGCTGGAGGACATACTAAAAGGAATGACCGATTGGAATGCCCATAGACTTTAACAAGGCAGTGGAATGCTCATAGAGAATAATGGAAACAAAATATTTCAATTAGAGACAAAACTATTAGACATATGAAATAAATATTTTGCAAGAATACTCTCAGAGTTCAGTGGCAATTTTTAAAATTGAGATTAATTGGGATTATTAATGTTTTCTATGGAATGGCAAGGGTGAATGACTAAAGAGAATGCCCAGAGACTATAATGGGAAGCAACACAAACTCATTTGCAGGCAAATCTGTGTTACATAGCAAATTATCTTTATCACAGGTGTTCCCAAAGTACAGCAGCAGATTGTAAAATTAAAAGTAACTGGGATTATAGCTCTTTTCTATGGAATGACAGGTGAATGATACAATGGAATGCCCATTGAGTGTAATGGGAAGCAATATGTGACTTGGAATCTGAACAGTGAAAGATATAAAGTAAATCTATTACTGGCATACTCTCCGAATGAAGTGTAAATTTTTAAAATGGAGATTAATTGGGATTATCAATGTTTTCTATGGAATGACAAGGGTGAATGACTAAAGAGTATAATGGGAGGTAACGCATAAACTCATTTGCAGGCAAATCTGTGTTCAAAGGTCAGCAGATGGTGGTCAGTTAGAGGAAATAGAACATTGGAGAGATTAGAGGTAGTACAGAGATTGGTGAAGATGAGGTCAAGAGAGTGTTTCCTGCTAGCCAATGCCTTCCGGGGCAAGCACAGCAGCTATGCAGGCAGTCACAGTAAGACCAGCCTAACCAAGAAAAGTCCACCTGGGCGGCACCACAATATACCAACACAACGATGGGCCTGAGCAGGGGTGCCACATGACCACACAGAACAGACCTGCTGATACAATACTCCCACCACATGGACCAAAGCACACAGGGGACAACGCAATACCACCCCAAGCAAAGCTAGACTCTCAAAAATAAAACTAACACAGGGACCCATCACCGGATTAGTTTAAAGGTTCACATGGTTATGTTGAAGTTTAGAAGTTAAAAAGTTAAGAGGTAACAAAACAAGACGGGAAGCTTAGCAACAGACCCACAATTGGGTAAAAACACACACCAGAGCGAAACGCTATCAAAGCTATACGACAACACACCGAGGCTCACTACAAAACCACAACCTCTACCCCCACCATCTCCCTAACTAGTCAATCCACGCACCCCACCACTTCGTAAACCCCCCCCCCCCTTCCCTCAGACAACTGACACAAACAATAGGCAGGTCATAGGCAAACACCGCATGGAACTGCAGGCACCTCTCTTACTCCACAACTCAATACACCGTCCTTCATCGGCAGATAGGAGTCCCCTGCCCTCTCACCAACTGGCCAGATAGATAAGCCCAGTTAGTATTCTAACCACAACCCTTATGGCGCCCCGCCCGTAGCTTACATGAACCCACCCTCCCCCTCCCCACGCCCTCCTCCCCTGCAAACCGATAACACTACAGTCTCACCTTCTGCCATCGCCTAATCTCTACCTCCCCTTTACCCCAACGCCCACAATTTCCCCCTACCGAACAACCCACAACGCAGAGAGCGCCGACTCAAACCGAGAAAAAGCACTACCGGCCTTCAACCTACGGAATTACCTCCATAAACGCGAAAGGCATCAACATCCCCGGCAAACTCAGATGGGTGAACCACATAGAAGCAGACATCATCCTGACCCAAGAGACGCACTACCCTAACCAAAAACACTTCCCCTAGTCAGACATTTTTTGCTGATACTACCTTGAAAACTCCCCAAAACCCAAAAAAAAGGAAGTCGCAATTCTACTCTGCAACTCATGCCCACTAGAAAACATCCAGACCCTCAAAGACCCAGCAGGAAGATTACTTATCCTCACAGGACAAATAGGCACCCACAAACTATCCATATGCTCCATGTATGCCCCAACCTCATGTGGACCAAGCAGAGGTTTTACGAGAGAGGCAACATAGCCGACTCCCTACTGGCCCACTGTTGCTACCAACAGAGGGCACTAGACAAGCTCCATAGCCAAACCCACCTAGTTGGTAGCAAACCTCAGCAGTACAGGAGAGCAGGCAATACATTTCACAGTACACACACCCTATAAACAATTACATTACACACACCCTGCACCTATAATGGGTACAGGGTGACTAAAACATAAGATAAATAAAGCAGCCTACATAAATAGTCTGTCTGAAGGTAGACTAGGGGCTTTAAAGCCAAATACATGAAAGAGTCATAGTCACAGGGGAGGAGGCTGGCAAGTAGGCCTTTCCAGGACCAAAGTGGCAAAGGGCACTTCGTCACACCGGGGAAAAAGAAGAAGAAGAAAAAAAAAAAAAATCCACACACAACACCTTCCAATCCCTAATCATCCCCCCACCTTCGCAAGGTCTTCAACACACTCTTACAAGGACACTG